TGCAAGGGCTGCCACCAAGGCCTCAACATCCTGTGTACCCCTCAGCTATGCCTGCAACACGACTGACCTTGCACTGGCATCTACCTTACTATCTCTCTTTTCACAAACATGCAAAGCAATCTCTCAGCGATCTTGATGAGGCTTTCCAAAATACAACTGCACTGAAAGTGCTTGGAGGGTGCTACAGGCAGTTTAGGACAGAGAACTCTTACACAGTTATTCTTCTTGCAGCTTTCTCAAGTTTTGATTAAACTTTCTAGCAAAGTTCAGAAGACTTTCCTGGAGTAACATGGGCTGTGGCTTGGTGCCACTGGTCCTTCTGCTCCAGCAGCTTTCCATCTGGCTGGTTCCCATGTGGTAGCCAACCACCCCAGTCTTCACCCACACAACTGTTTATGGGGCTAAGTGCAAGCTAATGTGTGAACTCATAAGTTTAATTTCTTCCCCAAAGAGGTATATAAAGCCTGGATCAGTTCTCTCTGGTTCTCAGAGCAGTCCCACTACCATCACACGGGACAACTGGAGGCACAGAAGCAAGATCAGCTCAAACCAGTCTTGTCACCCTGGGAAACATGGGGAAACCACAATGTCCCCCAACCCCCCCCCCCCCTCCCCCCCACAGTGAATCCAGCACTCACGTGCAGAGCACTGCAAGTGGTTGCATCAGTGCTACTCAGACAAAGCAACATGAAGCCCAGGGCTTTGTGCTGTCTCTACTGTCAGCACAGAGGATTTCGCAAAGGGTCCTTGCTTGCCCAGACCTTGGAGCGTGTCCATACCGCACCAGAGCCTGCAGTTCTCGTGGGTGAAGAAAACTGGCTGGCTGGAAGTTTCTCTCCTGGCTTTCTAGTCGAGTTGTAAAACAGGTTTGCTATTGCACTAGCAGAAAGCGATATGGGAAATACGCATCCTTGCTGTATCAGCAGGCTTTGACTACAACCTCCCCATCAGAAATCAGTCCATCTCAGCACGTCTCCAACTCCATTAAATTGGAATCAGAAGCATGGTAGGGCACGAAGCGGTTCTTCTCTAACAGAATTTTGCCAAACTGGGTTCTTACTTCTATTCTCACCCTTGCTGGGATACTCGCTTTGTTCTCTTTGATTTGATGCAGGAATTTAAGGTCAGGTGTCCATCACTGCGAGTACCACAGCCTCTGACTACAAGCTGCCTTGAGCATGGATGTGGAGTAAAGGCGAGCCTTTTCCATGTTCATGGTGGGTCAGTCGTACAGAGGACTCTTTGTTGAAGAGATGTGTTGGCTCATCAGCATATGTGTCCAGAAGCAAAAAGGCAGGGGGGGAAATCTGTTCAAAGGGCATGCCCTGAGCGTCAGGGACACGAGAAAGCCAGAGTGAAAGGAGTAAATGGTTTTAAATGTATACAGATGACATCTGTGTAATTAATTACCCTTATTTAAGTTATACTGATCATTTCCTGTGTAGATAATGCCAAAGGCTATGCTGTTATCTTAGAGGAATGTTTGTGTCTGGAGATTCATTCTCACTCTGCCAGTAATAAACTTTCCCTGGAGTTTCTGAAACATTAATTATAGTTTTATAACACTCAAGTTTTGCAACCAGCTCACGGTAATTCTCTGTAACATCGAGCTCTGACAGAAACAAATTAATCACTGATTTGAAAGCTGACAGTTGCCTAGGCATGAATGCTCAGGACTTTATTATGTTTGTTATGTATAAATAAAAATAGTCCTCACTGTAGCTGCCAGCCTGCCTGCCTACATCCACTCTTCAACACAGCTAGCACCTGGGAAGAGGCAGTTTTCCCTCAGCTAAGAAGCGAGTACCAACAACTCCAAGCAGGAGAAGAAATGAAAAGTGAAGATCTTGGATGCAGCTGGACATCACTTGAGAGTATTTCATCCAGGGGCTTCCCTCACTGAGGTGTCACCAGGACACAGAGGTTCCACCGCTCCAGCCTTGACACGTCCCAAGAGCTTTGTACCATGTCTCCTTTAGATTCACAGCTTTTGCCTCTTCCACATCAAATCCTTTAGCTCAGATGATGACACAAGCCTAAAGGGACAAATTTAAATCTCAGAAAAAAGGAGGACTATTTTTTTATTTCCAGATTTGTCAAGTTACCACATTGGACTAAAAATAAATAAATAAATGTCAAAAGTGATTTTTAGCTCATACAGAAGAATATAGATTCTCTTTAGTCCTTTTTGTGTATCTGCTGTCTTGAGGAGGGGAATGTAGCTTCCTACACGGCCACTTTAGGGCTGCCTCTCCTCCTTGGCCATCTTGGATGGAGCTAAATTCCCATTGGCATTATATTTCTTCATTAGCACAATCTTTCAAATTACAGTGGCTTTCCTGCAAGCCACAACTTGTTCAGGACTGCAGCAGTTCTTTATAAATTGCGTAAGAAATGTCAGCTCTCTTAATAGTTACAACTTACAGCTCCCCAGACAGCTTTTCATAGAGTAGCAGTTATAATACTGGAAGTGTTTTCTTTATTTCCTTTGCCTTTCTGTTGGTCTTGAGGCAGTCACCTCCAAAAGGAGAAAGGTGATGACACCGATTCTAAACTGAAGTGAAGCTATGAGTGTCAATAAAAAAACCTAAGAAATGTTTTTCCCATGGGTCTGATGACAAGGAAAAAAAGAATTATTTAACTTGATGAGAAACAATGAGTTTTGAACAATGCTGCATGTCCAGTGCCAGGTGTAGATAGTAAAAATGTCAAGTTACAGGAAAAGCAAACTCAGGAAATACTCATCTTTGCTTACAACGGGTGACATGGTCACACCTGAACACAAAATACTTCACATCATCAAATGGTGACTGAGGTGGGAAGACGCCTCCAGAGGTCAATTGATCCAACCTGAAGCAAGGCCACCAGGATGCCCAGGAAATCCAGATGGCTTTCAAAAACCTCTGAGGACGGAGACTTGCAGCCTCCCTGGGCAATTTATGCCAGGGCTTGGTCACACTCACAGTGGAAAAATGTTCCTGGTATTCAGAGGGAACCTGCTGTGTTTCGGTTTCACAGTATCACAGTATCACAGTATGTTAGAGATTGGAAGGGACCTCAAAAGATCATCTAGTCCAATCCCCCTGCTGGAGCAGGAACACCTAGATAAGGTTACACAGGAACGTGTCCAGGCGGGTTTTGAATGTCTCCAAAGAAGGAGACTCCACAACCTCCCTGGGCAGCCTGTTCCAGTGTTCCGTCACCCTCACTGAGAAGAAGTTTCTTCTCAGGTTTAAGTGGAACCTCTTGTGTTCCAGTTTGTACCCATTGCCCCTTGTCCTTTCATTGTTTGCCACTGAGAAGAGCCTGGCTCCATCCTCGTGACACTCCCCCTTTATATATTTATATACACTAATAAGGTCACCCCTCAATCTCCTCTTCTCCAAACTATAGAGACCCAGCTCCCTCAGTCTTTCCTCATAAGGGAGATGCTCCACTCCCTTCATCATCTTAGTTGCTCTGCGCTGGACTCTCTCCAGCAGGTCCCTGTCCTTCTTGAACTGAGGGGCCCAGAACTGGACACAATATTCCAGATGAGGTCTCACCAGGGCAGAGTAGAGGGGAAGGAGAACCTCTCTCGACCTACTAACCACCCCCCTTCTAATACACCCCAGGATGCCATTGGCCTTCTTGGCCACAAGGGCACAGTGTCGGCTCATGGTCACCCTGTCGTCCACCAGGACCCCCAGGTCCCTCTCCCCTACACTGCTCTCTAACAGGTCGTTCCCCAGCCTATACTGGAACCTGGGGTTGTTCCTGCCCAGATGCCCATTGCTTCTGATCCTGGCTCTGGTTACCACTAAAGACAGCCTTCGGCTGTGTAGTCTTCCTTCAGCTGTCTACACACATTGATAAGATTCCTGCCCACCTCAGCCTTCTCTTCCCGGGATGAGCTGTCCCAGTGCTCACAGCCTTGCCTCATCATGAGGTTCCTTCTTCACCTTAGGCACCCTTTGTTGGACTCTCTCTCACAGCGTGAGCCCAGCACAGGATGTAATGCTCCAGGGGTGGCCTTGCCACCGCTTCCAGAGCCACCACTAACTGTGGAAGATGGGAAGCACAAACTGCTGCAGTTCATTTTTCTTTTTAACTGTAGGACTTGCTAGTGCATGCTTGGGAATTTCAGCATCTGAGGAAGATGCTGAGCAATTAGCACCAATGGTCAATACTAACAGCCTACATCAGGTTGTAAGGCAGTGGGAAAAAATCCAACCCTGTTGCACATTTGTGAACAGGAAGTGATTAATCCAGGAGACCTTGTAACAGTCTTCCAACACCTAGATGGGGCTGCGGGAAACGTGGAGAGGGGCTTGGGACAAGGGCCTGTAGGGCCAGGCCAAGGGGAATGGCTTGAACCTGCCCAAGGGGAGACTGAGCTGAGCTCTTAGGCAGAAGCTCTTCCCTGTGAGGGTGCTGAGGCGCTGGCACAGGGTGCCCAGAGAAGCTGTGGCTGCCCCATCCCTGGCAGTGCTCAAGGCCAGGTTGGACACAGGGGCTTGGAGCAAGCTGCTCCAGTGGAAGGGGTCCCTGCCCGTGGCAGGGGTTGGAGCTGGAGGAGCTTTAAGGTGCCCTCCAACCCAAACCAGTCTGGGATTCTGTGATGCTATGAATTCCAGGTCATTTTGCCTAATTGTAAGCAAAATCACATCGGTGTTGATGCAGGGTACAATGAGGAAGGAAATAAAAGACGAGGGGAGGTGACTGCAGTGGACGCCCTTCTACAAGATAGGTTTCGGTGAGAAAACGTTGAAAACGGAGAAGCGCGGGCCCTCGGAGGCGTGAGGGGCCCCCGGGACGCCCCTCAGCAGGCCCTTCCCGAGGGGAGCGGGGCACCGGGACACCGTCTGCTGGCGAGGCTGCCCCGCGCTCCCGCCCCGGGTCACGGAGGCCGCGCTCGGGCCCCGGAGGCCAGAGAGGCCGAGCCGGCGGCGCCGCGGGCCCGGCGCGGGGGGCGGTCCGCCGTGTCCCGGCCCGGCCCCGCCCCGCTCCCGGCCCCGCCCGCTGCGCTCGCCGCCATGTTGCGGCCGTTGGTGCCGGGTGCGGGGTGAGGCCTATGCGGGGCTCTGGCGGTGGCGGGGCCCTCAGAGGAGCCGTCAGCGTGGGTGAGTGCCGCCCGCTCGGGCTTGGCCGCGCCGGGGCCCGCCCCTCCCGCTCGCCCTCCGCCTTCCTTGCGCCCTCCCGCCGGCCGGGCGGGTGCTGCCGCCCCGCGGGCAGGGCGGGCGGCCCCGCCGCCGGCAGACCGAGCCCTGCGCGCCCGCCCGCCCGCCCGCCTGCCTGCCCGCCTGCCTGCCTGCCCGCCGCACCGGCTCTTCCGGCCCGCGGGGCGCCCGCCGCCTTCTCTGCACCTCCCGACCCCCAGCTGCGCCGGCAGCTCTGGTCCCGGCTCTGACTGCCGGCCCGGACCCCACGGCGGTGCGGCGCTGCGCGGCCCGGTCCGGCGGTGCTGGGACAAACTAACTTCGGCGGGGTTTGCCCACGTGCGGCCGGGGCCGCGGGGCCGCGCCGGGTGTCAGCGCCGGGGGGAGCGGGCGGCGGCCGGGGAGGCCCCAGGCCTTTGTCTTGGGTGGGTCGCGCGTGGGGACAGCGGCAGCGCTGCCACGGGCGGTGACCCCGAGTCCCCGGCCCCGATCGTACCAGGGATCCTGAACCGGGCTCCCGCAACTTCAGTGGGTGTTGCAGCACTGGGGACCGTTTGGAGCCTCCGGTTTAATCTCCCACCAGCTGCCGTTCCCTGTTCCTGTACTTTCCCCATGGCCCTGACAGCCCCTGGGCGGTCTTTGCCTTGATCTGCTTTGGCTGCTGCCAGTTGGCATGTACTGCTTGCGCTTCCTGGGGCCCTGCTCCTGCCATCCCTGCCTTCCCAGATGATTCCCTGGCAGGGAAACCCTCTCCATATCCCTTCTGCATCCCTGCAGAAGGTGCCATCCCTTCAGGAGGAAGACCTCTTATGGGCTGGTAAGAGGAGCCCTTGGCCGACGTTTTCCCATGTACCTTACCGCTGTTTCACAGATTTACCAATATTTACTGTTAACGTTATTTTCCTGTATTATTTAACCTTGGTATAATTGCATTTTCATGCTTTCCTTTTAGGTGGCAATCTTGAAGCTCCTTCTTGAGCAGCATGGTACGCGCTGGTTTGAAAGCTCCAGAGGAGCTACTGCAGAGCTCTGAGAAGCCCCAGGAATAGCACCACTAGCGAAAGGTTTGTATGGTGCATGTGTGGCATGCTGGTCCTGTGGTGCCTCTGCCTGGTTGCAACATCTTGAAGCTTAGCCACAGCCCTGAGGTTGTACAAACAGCCTCAGGCAAGTTCACAGGGGTGTTTTTGATGGCTTGGAGGCTTCTAGGTTCCATGTTCCTTGGAGAAACGTGCTATACGGAGGCTGGCTTTGCACACTGAAATACATGTGTTCCACTCTGTATCTCCTTCTTTTCTCGTTTTATTCACCTCTTCTGTTGCTTTGGAAATCTCAACCTCCATGTTTTCACAGGCAAGCAGAGAAAGAAAATTGGATTTCAAGCTTGGGTTTGAAGGCAAGGCCTTTGCACAAGAAAGATGGAGGTTTCGTCTTTCCTCACAAAATAGTTTGCAGGAGGCTTTGACATAATTTCCCTTAATGTGCTTCTGTTTGTTATCTGAGAACAGAAATAAGTGGTGTTTAGTCAAAATTTTAAATTTGTTTCACTTAAAAGTCACTTTTGTCAGCCAGGCACCTACTTGGTCTTCTCTAGAATCAGAGTCGAGTTTTGCTTTGAGAATTTTAGCTTCATGTATGACGTGTTTAAGATGCAGTTTTGAGGAGAAATGCTTGAGTAGAGACTTGTGCTGTCATAATAGCAGAGTTTAAGCTAGTCTTTCATAGGACTCAAAGATATACACGAAAGCTTCTGAAAATGCACCGTTTCTTCCAAGAAAAGCATATTTTGTAATGGTGCAGATACCTCGGGTTTATTTTGTCTGGTATTTTAAAGTAGCACTGCGTCCAAAGATGCGGATAGGTGGAAAAGTCAAGAGCTATTGGCAAACTCCTTTTTTCTCTATATAAAACTTGAGCATTACAGGTTACGGATGAAATGTCTTCCTTGTGGAAGGGTTTGTGTGCCAGAAATTTTGGGAGCTCAGTGGCGTCTTGCTCTCTCCCAGCTGGCACAGATTTTCTCACCAAAGGAAGAAGTTTTAGGTCAACATTCTTTGCCAACTGCAGTAATCTGTGATGTTTCAGAAGTCTTGATTATCAAGTGCTAGTGATGTGAAGCATATGGATAATCGTCTGAGCTTCCAGGGATGTAATGCACAGCCGAGCTACCTTGTTTAGGGATGCGATTGTAAAGTACTACACAGCTGTCTGTGGACATTCATATTTGTGGTTTAATTTAAGAATGAGAACAAGTTTAAGCTACACCACAGTGAGCCACTCTTAAGCCAAGTAAACCTCCACAGAATGTTTTGCAGTAATTAACCAAAGCAACACCTATGGGGATTGTCTGGAGGCATGGCTAAACTAAAGCTCAAAGACCATTATGTCCTCTTGTTCAAAGCTGAAGTGATTTTTTCCTGGTCCAGCTCTGTAAAGTGTTCCTCATACCTGCAGTTTTAATGTGACGCTTCACAAACATTTAAACCCAGTTGTAAATAATGAAAGCAGCCTTAAATCAGTGGCCTCTGTCAGACAGCTCCTTTGTCTCCCTCCGCTTCTTCTCAGGGTCCTTCTATCTGTGCCTCTCCTCCCAGCCCTGCTCCCTTCTCCTGGGCGCTGTCTCCCTCACTTGCCACTGCCATTGGCAGCTCTGATGCAGCCCAGGTCGAGTGTGGCAGGACTTACCTTGCCTGTGGGTGCTCTTTGCCAAAGAATTGGTGCTCTGTTGATACTCTTTATTGGGTTTTGTTTTTTTTTTTTTCCCTCCCCTGCATACAGCATGCATCAATTCACATAAATTTGGGGTTTAAATGGAACATGTATTAAATATTTGGGAAGTCTGTATATTGCCCCAACTTGAAAATATCTTGATTAAGCAGGGGAAAACCACTGTCCCTGACAATAGCAAACACAAATGTTCAAGTAATTCTATGCTGTCAGTTTTCATTATGCATCTCATCAGAGCTTCATTATTGCTGTCATAGGTTTCTGTGGTGAGCATCTAAGTCCCCACTAACCTTCTGGAGGGCTTATAAAGAGAGAGCTGGCTGGGAACACCATTTCTTGTTATGAATTGAATATGATCCTTTTTTCTGTCTTTGGGCAGTTTTGCCTCACATCCTTCCTTAATTAAGGATTGCCTGTGTTTCAGATAAATCCTGCTTCATTTACCATGCTTTAAGCTGCTGTACTGAAATATTTACTGAAGACTTCTATTGTACAAATTGCTCTGGGTGGGAGTCATCTCGCTTTTCTGGTCTGTTTCTCTTGGGCCACCTGTTTACCGCTGCCTTTGTTCCTTGAAGCAGGACTGAATTCTTCAGAGAATCTGCTGAGAAATCAGCAGTGATTGTTGCCTATTAGCTCTAAAAAAAACCCAGCCAAACAAAAAAGAAACCCAGCACTGATGTACTTCTGGATCTTTTCTGTGGAAGCTCATGTCAGTGGCTGTTTTGGAGTAGAGTTGCATCTGACAGGTTGCAAAGATGTCCCCTGCACAAGCTTGGTGTCTTTTAAAAGGTCATGTTTGAACAAGCTCTGTTCTCGGGGACTCGGCATGTTGCTTGAGCACCAGGAGCAGCTTTGCTCACAGTCCAGAGGGGGCAGGTTGTATTGCATGACAGGATTGAACAGCTCCTGCCATTCGTCACCTGCCCCTGCCAGCTTGAGCAGGATGAGACCTGAGCTTTTGCAGATCCTTCATGTGCAGCAAGGGCAGGAGAGGTTCCTTCCCTGTAATACCCTACAAATGGCACTTCTGTTTTGAAAGCTGTGTTGAAAAAGCTGGGCTGATATTTCTGTGTATAAACAGTCAATCTTGGAATAGTTAAAATGGAAACAAGTGTCTGCTGCAGATGTTTCTAGCCTTTGTACCCGCTGCGTTAGTGTTTTGGGCAGTTGTGTTTTATCACATATTTATGCAAATTAGTCTTACAAAGTCTGTCCTTGGGGAAGATGTACCTGACTAAGAATTTTTTTGTATTTTAATTCTAGCTTTCATAATGGGGGACATGAAAACCCCAGACTTTGATGACCTCTTGGCTGCTTTTGACATCCCTGATCCAACAAGCCTTGATGCCAAGGAGACCATCCCATCAGCTGGGGAGGAGAATGATAATCACCTGAAGTCATCAGGAATCTGCATTGATGAGAATGTGTCCTTATCCCACTCTTTGCCTCCCTCTGATGCTCCTGTTGTGAGTGTGATAGTGAAGAACACGAGTCGCCAGGAGTCCTTTGAAGCAGAAAAGGAGGGGAATCACCTTGGTACTGGTCTGCTACACAATGGGTTTCGTGGGTCCGATCTGCCATCAGAGGCTCACGCTTTAGTCCATAATTATGGCAAGTTTGAGTCAACTTTTATTAATGGTGACAGCTCAAGAAGTTACTCTGATAAACTGGAGCAGTCTAAGTCAGAGCCTTTGCCAACATTTAGTCAGTTTAGCCCAATTTCCAGCCCTGAACCAGAGGATGCATTCAAAGAGAACAGCATTGGTGATAAACCCAAACATGCCCAAACACCCTATTTTCCACCACCTTCAATGTATATACCAACAGGAGCTTCAGTACTAGATCATCTTAGAAAGCTACCAGAGCCTGAATTAAGCATGTTTGATCAATACTGTAAAAAGGAACAAAAGATGGAAATCCACTGCCAGCCGGCAAATAGGCCAGAAATGGGCAGGAGAGAACAAGACAAAGCAGCAGAGAGGTTTTTGGAGTCAGGCAAGGACTTGGTAGATACCAATAGCTTTCTTGGGGAAGGCTTGGTGTTTGGAGACCTCCCTCACAATAATTTAGGAGAAAAGGGGTCTGTGCCTGAGCAGAACATGTCTTCATCGATACCACCTCGCCAGAGGTTAAAGCCAACTCATTCAAAGTTGTCATCCTGCGTGGCAGCGTTAGTAGCTCTTCAGGCCAAAAAGGTTGCATGTATTCCAAAAGGCGAGCAACCAAATCTTACCAAGGAACCTGGTCCTTTTAAAGACGGGATGAAGGGAAGTCCAAAAATGCCCAAATCACCAAAGAGTCCCCGAAGCCCTTTAGAGGTGGTAAGAAAGGCCAGCAAGCAGCCTGAGAGTCCTCAAAGCGTGTGCAGTGACAGCAGTGGGAAAGGCTCTCCTTCCTTGGCAGCTGGCTCTCCGCCAGCTATTCCCAAGGTTAGAATAAAGACTATCAAGACATCTTCTGGTGAAATTAAAAGAACTGTAACTAGAATTTTGCCAGAAAATGATGAGTTGGGCAAATCTTCAGAAGAGTCGCCTGTGGAAACCTCATCTGCCGAAGAGTCTATCAAATCTTTTCCATCCCCTGACACTAGTGTAGTTATGGAAAGTGAGGCCAGCAGGAATTCAACCAAAAATGGGGCTACTGTGGCTATCCAACTGTCAAGCATAACAAGTCCTTACACAGATAGCATGAAAACAGATATTGCTGCAAACAGCATGTGTACTGTGTCTTTATCTCCACTGCCAAACTGCGGCAGTGGTGCCATAAAAGTAGGTGTTAAGAGGCAGCAGCAGGGTATCGTGATGCAGCCATCCAGCGTCACCACCTCTAGCCTTCTTCCCAAAGCTGTGCACTTGGCAAATCTCAACTTGGTCCCACATAGTGTTGCTGCTTCTGTTACGGCAAAGTCATCAGCACAGAGGCGAAGTCAGCCTCAGGTGACACAGATGTCTGTGCCCCTGGTGCATCAAGTCAAGAAAGCTGCACCCATCGTCGTGGAAGCTTTTAATAAAGTACTACACAGTGCCAATCCAGTGCCGATATATACTCCAAACCTTAGTCCTCCACCTGATACCAGTATTAATTTACCTGCCTCTGGGTACTGTTGCCTGGAATGTGGGGACTCATTTGCCTTAGAGAAAAGCCTGACTCAACACTATAGTAGACGAAGTGTTCATATCGAAGTCATGTGCACTCAGTGTTCAACTATGCTACTTTTTTTTAATAAGTGTAGCTTGCTTAAACATGCCAGAGATCACAAGAGCAAAGGATTTATCATGCAGTGTTCTCAGCTGCTAATGAAACCGATTTCCTTAGACGAAATGTTTTCACCTTCTCCTGTGAGCTCTTCAGCCTCTCTGGCTCCTCAGACTTTGCACTCGCCCTCTCCTTCGCGTAAGCCCAGTGCTGCCTCAGGAGGTGGGGTAGGAATTTCTGCTAACATTCAGCCAGCCTTGCCTCTCTATACGGACCCATGGAGACTAATCCGTCATGGACTTAAGTGTTTAGAGTGTAACAAGCAGGCACAGGATTATGTTGCTTTAGCAGCTCATTACCAGAGAACCTCAGAAGATAATGAGAGACTGGTAAGTCATCATTTTAATGTTATTAGTTAAATCTCTCTTGAGTTTAAAGAGATTGTCCTCTCGGGGAAAAACAGGCATTGTGGTGGCTTTGTCTAAAAAAGTGCTTTTGGAGAGGACTTGGGATACACACAAGCCCAGGCATGTGCGCATGAAGAGCGTTCAGTGTTGCTTGCTTGTCCTCTTTTTACCCTTTGCGCACAAAAAGAGGGTAGTAAGGAGGCAGTGGAGATCCTTGAGCATCAAAGGAAGGTGTTGGAGATCAAAGATCACTTGGATGAGGTGTGCAAGAGTGCTGCAGGGGACAACCAGCAGAGAGTTACCTGAAACAGGCTTTTGTGCTCCGAGCATGGCTGGAGGAGTTCTGACACAATTTAATGTTACCTTTTCTAGAGCTTGTGCCAGAATTTGTGTAACACTGCGAACACTGGGAGCTGTTTCCCGTTAGTGTGGTAAAGTGTATATTGGGACAGAAGTGGCTGAGAGGCAAGAGGTGCGGTGTGTAGGGTAGATGGTTGGTTTTGGTTGTTTTTGCAACTTTGAGTGAGAGAGGGACAAGTTGTGTTTCTAAAGGAGGGCTCAAGAGCCTTGTGATGTTTTCCTGCCTTGCTCCAGTACTGCCCTGCTTGGGTGTCCATCACCTTTAAGGACCTCCCTCATGGGTGCAAATGCAGGGTCTGAATCCTCTTTGAAACTCAGTTTCTACTGATGAAGAGGAGGAGATGCTGTTTGTTCTGTACCAAGACCATACACATTGTTTATGTTTTCTGCTTTGTAAGATGGGGTCAATCCTGTGTGAATGTAAGCCAACTTCAAATTGACCAGGAGGAGGAATCATTTCTCCTTATCTCTTCAGATGAGGTGAAAGCTTTCCATGTTGCTGTGGCTGCCAGCAGAGATGGCAGGCTCCTAGTGCAGTCTCCTCCACAAGCTCCACAAGCAAGAACTCTGTCAACATGAGACATTTGGGGAGATGACCACCCATCCTTGCCATGACCACTGAAGTACTTGCATACTCCAGAGCTTCCCTTTGCTTGTTAAACGGCTTGCAGGAGTGTTGAGGTTGCTGTGGTCACATTGAGATTTTTTGTTATCTTCCTCTTAAAATCAGCACCATAAAAAAAAAATAAAAATGGCTGGATGGTTTTTATGTTGTAAAAGATGGTGAAGCCAGAAGGCACCGGCACGGCCAGAGTCGCGCTCTGTGCCCAAGGCAGAGCGGCAAGCGCTGTGCTCTGCCAACACCCAAACTTACTCTTCAACTTTAATGCAGTTTTAGGAAATGTCAGCAGTCTGGAATCTTCACCTTCAGGTGATGGGATATAGTGAACGCTCCAAAATGAGCTAAAATGTTAATCGGTCACATTAAAAATGTATTTCCTATTTTTGTTGTGGGGTTATCAATTCAAGAGCATTTTAAAGAGAGAAGGAATGTCTACTAGTAAGTATTTTTAGCTTGTAATAAAATAATTTATTCTGTAACTTAATAAAAGAGTTTAACCCTCACTTCAAGTTAGCTCTGCTAGATGGGAGATTGTTTTTGTAGTATTTTTCTGTATGGAAGCATTGACAAACTGGGAAAAGAGGCAATGTTAGATGTTGTGAAACTGTCTCCTCCTCCCTGTTTGATCTTCCCATGCTTATACTCAATGGGATGCATGCGTTTCTCTGGGAGTCCTTCTCCACTGTATCTGCTGTCCTCCAGGCTGCCCGGTGGTCTCCATGCTGTTCCCAGAACATCTGTTTCAGCAAAGCTGTTTCATTTTTAAAGGAAATATGAGTTTGTACCCATATGCCTGTAATTGCATGCCTCCAGATTTAGCAGTAGCTAATGGAAACCATCCCTCTGCCTTCTAGCAGTACCCAGGGTATTTGGTGTCACTGGACTAAGAGGTAAAAGGATGGGTAAAATTCAGCGGTCTGCAGTAGATGGATGTCATGCTCTCTGAGCGGCTCAAGGGAGAGGGTGTGGATTGCCAAGTGTCTTACTTAAGTAGCACACTGCATAACAAGGCATGAGAAGCCAAAGGTGTTGCAAATCAGGGGTGTTAATGAACTTCAGTCTGATATTAGACATGGTTTCAGAAGGAGATAGACATACAGGCTGTTGGAGTATGCATCGCAAGCTCCTGAAACAGGAAAACATGAACTGGCTGAACCCATTCCAATTAGATGCTGTGGACATCCGTAACTTTGCATTAATGATGCTGATTTCTTGGGTTGCTGTGTTTAATTTGGTCAGAAAAAGGAGGAATATTGGTAGGAGGTGGAGGTTATCAGTGAGTGTTTACAGAACACTTTTTTTGTGGTGGAAGTGGTTGAAAACTCTGGTTTCCATCTCTAGAGTGGCAGTGAAACTGTTGCTGAGGAAGGCATGACTGTAACATCTGTATTCAACATAGCACATTCTTTGTGCCCCTGTAGTGGATCAAGCCATCATGTCCGCATGGCAGAAGGTCTTGATTTCTGTATTGATACTTGTAATTAAAAAATAAGGTACAGCAGTGGTTGTTGTGTACCCAGGCATGATCTGGAGCACACTGCTGTTGCAGGACAATCTGCAATGGCATTAACAGTTGTGGGCCAGGTCAGATGTGAACTGCATCCCTAGATCTCAGGAGACTATTTAGTATTTATCATGATTTTGCACATTTGAGCAAAAACTAGTGTGTGTTTCTTCCTTCACACCTGATGTTTTTCTCACTATATTCAAACACTGGTTTAGAAGCAACTATGGGATTTGAGGGAGAGATTGCAATAATTTCTTAAAGCTAACAAAAATTGCACTGTAATTTTTTTTTTTTATTTTTAATTTCTTAATCCCAGAATTTAGACACAGGCACTTTGCCATGCCTTCTTCTCCTTGAGAAAGTATGGAGTATCTTGGCATTTTCTATACAAAATTATGGCTTGATTAATGCTTTTTTAAGAGCTTCAAGAGGTAACAGGGCAGGTCCCCACTGTATTATGGCCTAAAGCTTACCTGTGACTATTCAGATGCCTGGTACCAGACTATACCAAAAAAGAGGAGTCTTGGGAAGGTTAGGTGGATGCATAAGGGAAGGAGCATCTTTGGCTGAAGATGAAGTGTGAAATTGATTTATCTGCAGCACTTGGGTTTGATTTAGAAGATGGAGACCCCTGACCTATGGAAAATAAACTAGGTGGATTTTTGATTGATGTTCTTAGAAGCTTTTCTGCTAAATGATCCCAAATCTGGATTATTAACCATGACAGGCATATCTAACGTGACCGTAACTTGAGAAACTGAGCAGACTTTGAAGTGATCAGTTACAGTGCTTTTAGCTCAAAAACCTTTATGAATGGGTATATCACCTTGTTAAGAAGGAAGGGTTGATCCAGTGGGCTTGATGAAGAAAAGAAATAGCAGGAAAAAGACTTATTTTTCAGTATGATGTCTTCAGTTACCTAGAAGCTGAAGGATGAGCAAGCTGCGGTCAGAGGCAGCAGAGATTGGACTGGAGAGGGGGAGCAGCCTAAGCTGGCTCTGCTCCATGAGAAGACTTATCCTGTGTTGATACTTAAGGCTTCTCACTTCAGCTGGCATTCCTTACCATGACTTTGTGAATCACTTTGACATCTTTACACTTCCCTGTAGCTGTTTTAAAGGTGACTGTTGGGTTTTCTGTTTGTTCCAGTTGATGGCTTGGGAAATACTTGGTATTACGTTTTTGAAGGGCCTCGAATAAAGCCCATATTAATAGGATAGATAAGGGGTAAATGACTTTTCCAGGTGTGTACAAAATGAGAATGACGTGGCTGGTTCACAGTTATTTTGGAGGAAAGCAAAGATAGGTATGTGGTTTGGACAGCAGGGAAAGGAGGAGATTTGGAGCAAGTGAATAGGAAGAGAGGGGGATGATGCTGTGGTTAAGAAGGTGGAGTGGAAAGACATTCAGAAAAATGAGAGCTTGTGGTGGCTACATGATTGAAGTTGTTCAGAGTACGGCAGGGGAATCCTACCTGGCTAATTATTATATCAAATATGTATAAGATTAAGGCAGTTCTTCTCAGCCGAATACCACAGTGGGATCTCTGTGGCTTACAGTAAGGATTCAGGCTTTGAGAACTGTGAGTTAATCCACTTCAGAAATACAGAGAACTGGATTTAGTGGATGTATGTTTCAAGTGGATTGTCTCAAGGGCTTTTAGTTACTTTGCCTTTTTTTGGAGACTGGTGAGGCTAATTTTGCAGTTTTTTGCAAGCTTGTGAATCAAGTTGCTCGATGGGTTTACTGTTTTTCGATCATAGAACAGCAAGAAGAAAGCAGTATGTGAATTCGAATATCTGGTAGGTTGGACTTTGTTCAAACTAGAAGCTGTGCTTTATGCAGACATTGTGCTTTCCCAGATGTTCAAAAGGTGGTGGTAGCAGATGTTTGGTGTAATTTCAGGTCTGTTTGGTCTGACTACAGCAGTATTACATTCTAGAGCAAGATTTTTATATTTGGGGGGGGGGGGGGGGAAGGATTATGAAATAGGTGTAGTTAATGCCAAATCAATGCTACACATCTTCTAATTTAATTTTGGAGTAGAGAAGTGAGTAGATACTAATCTCCTTGATGTTCAGTGAGCTGGTCGTTAGAGTGCCATATGGGGAACAGCCGTACTGAAGAAGTTGAATCATGAGGAGCCAGGAGGTGGCTGATCTCTTCTCCCAAGGGACGAGTGATAGGACTAGAGGAAACTGCCTCAAGCTGCACCAGGGTTTAGATGGAGCAGTTCCATCCAGGAACAATTCCTGCCCCAGAGGTGCTCAGGCATTGGAACAGGCTGCCCAGGGCAGGGCTGCAGTCACCGTCCCTGCAAGTGTTCACACAGCGTGGAGATGGGGCCTCAGTGCCATGGGTTAGTGGTGGCCTTGGCAGTGCTGGGGAATGGTGGAACTTGGTGAGCTTAAAGGGCTTTTCCAACCTGGCTGATTCTGTGATTCTATGAGGGTTTAGAGCAGAATCAGGTAAAAGGGAGATAACTGCAACTGT